AGGAAATGTCCTCCCCTTCAAAATGAGCATTGGATGGGATTTTTCTGATGAACTATGAAAAAGTTATGCCTTGGTCAAGTTACAGTTGACTTTTTCAACTGTCCAAAAATGGAAACTTTTGCATCTTGATGATTTTTGAGCCATGCTTGTGGAATCATGATCAAGACTTGATCAAATGATGATTGTGGCCTCAAAATAAGATGTTGACCAAAATTTTTGACTTTTGACTGCCAAATGACCATTTTACCCCTACAGTTGATTGTGAAGCAATTAGGGCTTTTGACTGTGCAACTTGACCTTGTGAGCCTTGAAACTTGGCATATGGATGCTTGACAATGTGTATAGGAATATGGGACTTGATTGAGCCCTTGAAAACCTCAACTTCCTTGCAGGAACCAAAACCCTAATTTGATTGGCTTAGGAGAGTGCTTGACTGTGTAGCTCTTGAGTAGACTTGAGCAAATTGAGATGATGCTTGTCAAAAATTTGAAGAATATGGGAGGGAAAATTTTGGGGTACAACACCCTTCCTACTAATAATCTCCTTACTAGTCCACAAGAAGGATCTGCAGATAGCCTCTATTTTCTTTATGACAAACTTTGGCATGGAAAAGCTCATCATCCAATAGTTTGTCATTGCAAAGGAAATGCTATTTATCAAATGTAATCTCCCAGCATAACTCAACAAGGCATAACTCCAATGCTTTATCTTCCCAATTATTTTTTCCACCAGAACGATATAGTGATTGATGGATAATATTTTACAAGTAAGAGGGACTCCCAAATATCTGAATGGAATGGACCCCTCCTTGAAAGTTGTCAGCTTCAAAATTTTCTCTTTTGTATCCGCCTCAACACTCCCAAAATAGATGTTGCACTTGTTAGGGTTTATCTTCATACCAGTTGAGTTAGTGAACACTTGGAAAACTTCCATCATAAGCTCCATAGACTTATAATCCCCTCTGGAGAAAAGCAAGACATCATCTACAAAAGCCAGATTGGTAATCTCCAATTTTTCACACTGAGCATGGTGGTTGAAATTAGGATTTTTATGCATTTTGATGTAAACATCTATGAAGGTATTCCATAACAAGGACAAAAAAGTAGGGGAAATTGAGTCTCCTTGTCTAATTCCTCTCTTGGCTTCCAACACTTTAGTGAGCTCCCCATTTAAATTGAATCTATAGGAAACTGAAGTTACAATAATCATAATCCAATTTATGAATTTAGAAGGCATTCCAACTTCCCGCAAGATGCACTATAAAGCATGCCAATCTACCATATCATATGCTTTTTGAAGATCGATTTGAGTCATACATCTAGGGGTCCCCCTTCCTAGTGTAACCCTTAATTAACTCATAAGCCAAAAGTGTATGGTGATGGATATTTTGATCTGGAATGAAGGCAACTTGGTTGGAGCTAATGATGTTACCCATAACAATACTCGATCTAGTAGTCAAGATTTTGGATATAATCTTGTAAACTGTAGAACAAACCGAAATTGGCTTATAACCCCTCATGTGCTTAGCTGTATCATGCTTGGGGATGAGGGAATCAATCGTATAGTTGAAAGCTTTGAATAACCTGCCTTGCTCAAAGAATTCTTGAACGGCTACAGTTACATCACCTTTGACAATGTCACAACTATATTTGAAGAACCACGCCCCATATCCATCCAAGCCTTTAAATCATTAATGCCTTTAAGAGCATTATATATATCTGATCCTCAATAATAGGTCTAACCGGATTCTCTTTTTGCACCCTGTTAATTTAAGCTCCTTTTCTCATTGCTCCTATATCAATACACTTCAAGTTGTTCTCCTTCTTTCCCATTAGGCTACTATAATACTGCAGAATTTCCCCCTCTACCTCCTCATTAGTATTGATACCGGTGACATCCTCTCTGCATATATCCATCATGTTGTTTGCATTCTTCTTGGCTTTAACTGATGCATGGAAAAGATAATTGTTTCCATCTTCCAATTTTAACCACTCCAGCTTAGCTCTTTGCCTTAAGATATCCTCATCAATCCCATTCAACTTAACCAGCTTAGCAGTGCATCTTTGAACGTCTAAGATAATCTGCTTGTTCGTTCTATCATTGGATAATCATTTTGAGCTTTATCCAAGGCATCCCTAGCTTGAGCTATATGCTGTTTAGCATAAACCAAGAATTTACACATATTTCTCACAATAGGTTGCAATCTCTTCAACTTTCTCCACAAAACATACATGGGCCTTCCCCTAATAGGTTCATTCCAGCTGCTTGACAACGATGTTGAGTACCCCTAAATACCAGTAGCACAATTGATGAATTTGAATTAAGTCTTCTTGTAATTTTGCACCTGATCTATGACTAAAAGCAAGGCATGGTCTGAGACATTTGGAGGAAGGACTTTCAAAATAGTATTTAGCTGACTCTGAAACTAGTCTACATTACCCAACACCCTGCCTATCCTCGATAAATTGTGCCCTCAGATTATTTATTTGACCAAGTATAATACTCTCCAATGTTGTCCATCTCAAACAACCCTTTGCAATCTATCATCCTTAAATATCTATGTATTCAGATTCAGAAACTACAGAGCCACCAAATATCTTGGGCTTTTATTAAAGTCCCCGATAAGACACCAAGCCCCTTGTTGTTGAATATTCCCTATGTATTTCCAAAGCAATCTTCCATGCTCTAGCTTATTATGAGCATATATGGCAGTCATCCAAAATTTAAATTGCCCATGGATATCATAAATACCCACATTGCACCATTTGAATGGTACATTTGATGACTTTGAGAATAATAAAAGGGGGGTTCCATTGAATCCAAATTCTATCATTCTCATGCCAACTGTAGTTATCAACATAATTGCCACATAAGTTCAATTTATTCCTAATTGCCATAGCTTTTCCACTTTTAACTCTAGTTTCTATTAGGATGTTTATATTAGACTTAAGCCCTAGGAGACGAGAACTAATCTCCCAGAGCTTACCTGATTTATTGAGCCCCCTGGTATTCCAAGAAACAATCATTGGCCAATGTTTTGTAGCACTAGGAGGTCATTCAAAACCCCTAGGACGTCAAAACCATTCTCACATAGCAAATCCTTTGGTGGACTATCAAGAATTCTCCCTTCCCCCTGTCACGACCACTTTTATTGATGGTTTTCCAACCCTTATTTGTTGGTTGAACATCCTCCCGCTGGCTCTTTGCTGAATCAGAAGAGGTAGCATTAGTGGTAATAACATCTGGTTCTCTATTTTCTGGGGGTTTTGGCTTTGGTTTCCATTACTTCTCTTTTGGATTTATAACATCACATTTGTGTCCAACTTTCTGGAACTTTTCACAATAAGCTAGCTTCTATTCATAGTCCACCATCTGTTTCATCTTCATGCCTTCATTGTCCCTAATTATTATCTCTTTAGGCAACTCTTTTGTAATATCAACTTCCACTAATATCCTAGCATAAGATATTCGCAGACGATTAGCAGTACATTCATCAGTTACCACAGGGTTTCCGACGCACTCCCTATCTTGTTGAGACTCTTTTCACCCCACAGATACAGGGGCATCTGCGGAAGTTTCACCTAAATAGGGAGCATGTGAAGCATGTCATTCTTCAGGTTGAAATATGGGCGCCATTCTCATAGGAGCATTGACATGTTTCTTATGGTATACAATTCATTCATCAAGACTTCATCTCTTTCTCTGAAGGATTTGGACTTTAAAAGGAAGTACCCCTTCTCATTGTAGAACATATCAGACAATTGTACAAAATTCCACATCTTCGTCATAAATTGTTTCACCATGTTCATGCTTAAGTCTCCCCCTAAGACATACATTATCAAGGATGACTCCCAAAACCTGATTTCTGATACTATGTCTTCCGGTTCAATCTCAACTTCTACTTCTCCATTAACGATGGATGGTTCTACGAATTCCATCGCCCTTCCCCTAACTGGATTCCTGTTTTCATTCAGGACATCTACCTATAACTTTCGATTTTCCTGTGCATCTTCTTTGTTTGGTGACCTTAAGGTTTATGCATCTACATCTTTTTCCTTCCCAATTTTCTCTCCAATCGAACTAGAACTTGCTTTTTCTGTGAGACTTTCCTTTCCGTCATGAATTTCCGTATATGATGTCTTCACCGGAGTTCTCGTATCTGGTGTCTTCATCGGAGTAGTACAAATATTCGGAGACGGAGACATCGACTTTTTCAGCCGCCCACGTCCTTTCCCCATTCTTCGAAAGACTAAAACTATTTTGATTAATAGTAAAATAATATTATTATACTATTTTATAAAATCTATACAATCCATAAAAATAATAAATTATAGATTTGATTTTTAATAATTTTTTAACAAAATAAAAAAGTCATTTATTATTCAATTGATATTCATTAATTAAAATATAAATGAGTTTAATATTCAATTCATAACAAATTCATTTCTTAATTTAAAGTGAGCATGATTAATATGAAAAAAATAAAATAAAATAATATTCTCTTTACCATACATTCCTTTATTTTTATTTTTTGACATAAAATGATACATTCCTTTATTTTTTTTTGACATAAAATGATACATTCCTTAAATGTCACAAATTAATAGAAAATCAAACATATGCTTTTTTTGACTGTTTTTATTTTATTTTAGTTATTGCTTTTGGAAATACCACGTTATCTTTACTTTATTGACACCTTTATTTTTGTAATAAATATTTTTAAATGTTTTCTTTGAAGAAGAAACAAAATAATATTATTATATTATTTTATAAAATTTATGGTGAGAATTAACCATTGTCATACACAGTTATTAATATGTCTGTGTCTTATCTTCTCTTATCTGTGAAACAATCAAACAAAAACAGTAGCAGTAGTTTGTAGAAACTACCGAGAACCCGGTTCTGAAACGCGTGATTCCACGCGCACGACTTCAAATAACGACTCAAACCCTTGATTCTGAAATTGCTGAAACCTTCTTCATTCTCCAAAACCCCGATCCATGTCAGATCCTATCCTCGCCGCGCAACCGCCGGAGCAACTGTCGTCCGATCTGGATTTCGATGATATCGCCGGCCAGTTCAACAACATCCCTATCCCCTCATTAGAGGATTTCTTCAACGGCGCCGCTCTTGATTCAGAGGCTTTAACTTCCGATCTGGAATTTCCGTTTGGAGATTTCGAGATTACCTTTGACGATATTGATAACCTCCCTGTTACGGATGGTTTTCTTCTTCCGGAAGGATGGAACCCGAATACTAACGGCATTCCGATTTCGCCTATGAGAGGTGATTGCATTAATGGTGATGGTAATTGTTCTCCAGAGAATTTCAATTCGCCGGGATCAGGTGCTTCTGTGGTTTCTGGTGATCAAAGCCCCGGTGTTTCTAGGTTTCTTAATTCAGAATCGATTTATGCTGCTGATAACTCGGTTGATTCGGTTGATGTTGATGTTAAAGTTTCGAGCATTCCTTTGCCGGAGACTGAAAATAGCGACCGGGAAGAGTCTACGAATGGACCGGTTTCTTCTCACGGATCAGGTAACGGTGGATCTGGTGTATATGAAGCCATGAACTCGCCCTCGGATGATTTTGGAAGTTATGAGAGGGATATTTCATCTTCTCATGAACATGCAGCTGTGGAAGAGGGTGTAAAAGTGGAGGGAGTTGTTAAAGGCTCTGATCTGAAGAGGAAGAAAGATAACAGCCATGAGAGTGCGGAGAATAGAACCCCAAAATGCAGTAGAAGGTCCTCCTCAATGGAAAACAAGATCCAACCACAGCAGCAGTCTCAATCTGGTTTTGATGGAATTGAAGATGATGATGAGAAGAGGAAGGCTAGGTTGATAAGGAATAGAGAAAGTGCACAGCTTTCTAGGCAGAGGAAGAAGCATTATGTGGAGGAGCTTGAGGAGAAGGTGAGATCAATGCATTCGACAATTGCTGATTTGAGTAGTAAGATCACTTATGTCATGGCGGAGAATGCTACACTTAGACAACAATTGAGTGGTGGTGTGATGTGTCCACCTCCACCACCAGGTTCTGGGATGTACCCTCATCCTCCAATGGCACATATGCCTTATCCTTGGATGCCTTGTGCACCTTATGTTGTTAGACCTCAAGGGTCTCAGGTTCCTTTGGTTCCAATTCCAAGGTTGAAACCTCAGCAACCAGCTGTGTCTTCTAAGAGTAAAAAGAACGAGAGCAAGAAGACTGAGACGAAGAAGACTGAGGTGAAAACTAAGAAGGTTGCTAGTATTAGTTTGTTGGGTTTGTTTTTCTGCATCATGCTTTTTGGCGGACTTGTTCCTTTGGTAGATTTTAAGTTTGGAGGTTTAGTTGACAATCTTTCTGGTAGGTCTAGTTATGTTAGTGATAGATGGTTGTATGGTCAGGGTGGAAGTAGGGTTTGGACTGTAAATGATCATATGAAAGAATCTGGAAGGGATGCGGATGTGGGGTTATCCAATGGAAGGTTCAGTGTTTCTGATAGGAACAATTATGAGAGAGGCCGAAAACTAGGTGAAGATATGAATGAACTCAAAAACTCGAGTTGTTTTGGTCATCGAGACAACGCCAGCGAGCCACTTCTTGCTTCTTTGTATGTTCCTAGGAATGATAAGTTGGTGAAGATTGATGGAAACTTGATAATCCATTCGATTATGGCCAGTGAGAAAGCCATGGCATCTCAAGATTCTCAAGGAAATAAGGAGAAGAGTAAAACTGGTTTGGCCATTCCTAGGGATTCTGCATTGGCTATTCCTGAAGTTGGAAGAAACAGAGGTCAACATCCAAATGTGTATAGGGTTTCTGCCGAACAGAGAAGGGCTATTGGCTCTGGTTCAGCCAAAACTTTGAAGGACCATATGAAGTCTTCTGCAACTGATGGTAAAATGCAGCAGTGGTTCCGTGAAGGAGTTGCAGGTGAATCCTTTAATTATGTCTGTCCTCTAATTTTATTCTATTGGTGGCTTGGTGGAAATGATACATTCTCTTCTGCTGATTTATATATGTTTTTCTTGTTGCTGTCTAATCTGAATTTGCCAAACTGTAGCACATATTACAGGTTTATTATGTCGCTGTCTTAATTTCACTTCATAGATTATTAGATAGAAATAATGCAGTCTCTTCTGCTGACTTGTCTTCTTGGATGCTCTATAAAATCTCTAATCAGAATTTTCCAATTTGTAGCACATATTTCAGGTTTTACTTAATGTTTCTGTCTGATTTTAACACTAAAGATTCCTAGGTAGGCAGGCTTGGTACACTCTTCTGCGTGTGTTTTCTTGGGTGCTGTAAAAAATCACTAATCATATTTTGGCCACTGGGTAGCACATATTATAGGTTCAATGTTTTCAATTTTGGCAGTGTTTGAGTATATGAGACGCCTTCTAATATTAAGCTCATACGTTTAGTGTTTGGTTGTTCCTTGGTTGTTTGGTTGTTCCTTGGTTGTTTGAGATGTCTTCCAAACCTGGTTATAGATAGATTTCTTGAACTTCTTAGTATTCTCTAATTCTATCGCTAACTTAGTTTTAATAGTGCTTATTTAATAATACCTCCCCTAACTGTTGCATTTTCGGTTCGTTGTTGTATTTGTAATATAGCTTCTCTTTTGCCATAGTAACTGTCATTATCTAAGGTGTCTTTCTCGGTATAAGAACTGAAAACAACACCTTTATGTTGTCCACCTCCCAATCATGCTTAAGCAAATATCCTTTACTGGTTGTACAAGCTTTATATGCCCAACTAAGGACCTGCTTGCTGATTTTGAAGCACATAAACATTGAAGTTTTACCAAAATTTCTGGCTCCATGATGCAGGTCCAATGCTAAGTTCTGGCATGTGTACTGAAGTTTTTCAGTTTGATGTCTCTCCAGCTCCTGGAGCTATAGTTCCAGCAACAACAGTGACTAAGATTTCTACTGAAAGCCGTCACAATGCTACCACTATCAACATGAGCAGAAACAGAAGAATCCTCCACGGGCTCCCAGATCCACTCCCTGGATCCAAACTGAACATAACTGAAGAACATGCAAGAAATTTGCCAAAAGACCATCTCCCTGGTAATAAATCTTCGATGGTGGTTTCGGTTCTTGTTGATCCTAAAGAGGTTGGAGATGGTGATGTTGATGGCATGATGGCTCCAAAGTCACTCTCTCGGATTTTTGTTGTTGTGCTACTCGACAGTGTCAAGTATGTGACTTACTCATGTGGTCTTCCCCGAGCTTCTTCTTTGGTGGCTGCTTATGTTTGACCACCGTCCCCATTTTGATACAAGCTTATCTAACCCTAGAGTTATAGTTTATTTACAAGGGACGTGGGCTACTTTGGGAGGGAAAGAAATGAGGCTCCGGTTTTGTACATAACAAGATATTTAAAATAGCAGGCCTTGTGTAAACATAAACGAGTTGTACTTTAGAAAAGCTGGCGTTGATCAACCGTTAATGTATGGAGTTGAGACTTTTCTTAGAGACTTGAAATAATAAATGCCCGCTTATAATTTACAAGTTGTTTCATTTGTTATTCAATTTATATTGTGGTGTTTAAAGTTTGAACGTGGTTTTGAACAAAGGGAGAGATCTCCAGGGAGATCAATGGAGAGAATGAGATCACATTTTTATAGTCGAAGAGCATTCTTTGTTTTTGAGCAAACTATTTTTGCTCTGAATAGTGAGATGTTGTTACTACCCAATGAGATAGTTGTAGTAGTGTTCTTTATTTTAATTTTCAATACATTTAGGAACCAATGTGCCATTGAGATACATTTCCAGCACTCGAAATAGTGACCGAGTTATATATTTCATGAAAACAAAATAGTGGTGTTGAGAAATAAAGCCATGATTGAATTTCTGAAAAAGCAACTTTCTTCACCAATTACTTGTGTATGTCATGTCCATTTTAATTGTATATGGTTCAATTCATGTGTTTCAACACAAAGTTCCGTCGATTAGGCATAAGTCCGATTAGTTATTGTTAGTGCATAAATGAGAGATAAAAGACAAGAGAAATATATTGTATGACGGTTACAAAATAAGGAATAATGAATTACATTTACCTATTTATTATTAGGCTATTTATACACAAAATTATGGTATAATAAAATATTAAAATATCCTCTAACAAACTTAATCAATAAGATATTCCTAAAATATAAATTAATTTCAACACCATCCCTTAATTTATATTTACACAAAACTGACAACATCAATTCCATCTCTCAAACGAAGAAATTGATCAGTCTTGATAGCCTTTGTTAGAACGTCTGCCAACTGCTTCTGGGTGCTACAGTGTACAAATTCTAATATTCCACTCTGAACCAGATTCCTCAGAAAGTGATACTTGATTTCACTATGCTTGCTTCTTCCATGCAACACTGAGTTCTTGGCAAGATTGTTTGCAGACTTGTTATCAATCATCAGCTTCAGAGGTTTGTCTACCTCAATCTTCAGATCTTGCAGCAAGTTCAGAATCCACACAGTTTGGCATGTAGTCAGAGCTCCTGCAATATATTTAGCTTCATAGGTTGACAGCGCAACAACATGTTGCTTCTTGGAACACCAAGAAATAGAACCTCCCAGAAATTTGAATAAGTACCCAAAAGTACTTCTTCTGTCAACTCTGTCTCCACACCAATCAGAGTCTGAATAACTCAAGTTCTGATTCGATCTTCCTTCCAGAAGGAAATAACACTCCATACTTCAGAGTTCCCTTCACATACCTCAGAATCCTGACAACAACTTGGTAATGAGACCACTTTGGTTTACTCATAAATCTGCTAACCATTCCAACTGCATGGAAAATATCAGGTATGGTATTACACAAATACCTCAGAGAATCAACCATTTGTTTGAAGGTTGTAGCATCCACATCCTCTCCATTAGAATTAGAGTCCAACTTCTGATTCGTATCAGCAGGTGTGATAGCAACTTTGCAATTTTCTAATTCAAATCTCTTCAGAAGTTCAAATTCATACTTCATCTGATGCAAAATGATTCCTTTCTTAGAGTACATAAACTCCATCCCTAGAAAGAAACTCATTTTCCCAAGATCTGTCATTTCAAACTCATTCATCAGAGCCTTCTTAAACTCAGCTATTTCTTGTTTAGAGTTTCCCGTGAGCAATATGTGATCCACATACAAACATACCAAAATCATATTACCTTCTGAAGTTCTACTTTCAGAATTATGATCACCGTCAAAGGCTAAATTTCCTTCAGAAGCCTCTCATTCACAAGGTCCATCCTTAGGGTCATGATTTCCACCAGAAACACAATCATCTTTAGAAGTTTGTCCTCCAGAACCTACGTCTTTAGAGTTTTCCCTTCTAGAAGCATGATCACCACTAGATTTTGGATCAACATCAAAATCTAGATCAAAATTAGATTCACCATCTGACTCATCTTCGGAGTTTCCAGAGTCATCATCTTCTGACTCATCTTCAGAATCTTCAGCGTCATCTTCTGATTCTGACTCATATTCAAACACTCCTTCAGAGTTAGAATATTCAGAGTCATCTTCCCCTTCAGAATCAGAAAATGACAATTTCACCGATTCCTCATCAGATTCATAAGCCATAAATAGCATAAGTTCATCATCAAACTCTCCTCTGGCTATATTTGCTTCTTCTTACTTCCTTTCTTTGTTTGACCAACAATCTTTGGCATAGTGACCAAAGTTCTTGCAACAGTAACACTAAACATTCTTCTTGTCAGACTTCTCCTTTCTCTTCTGGACATTCTACTAAAATACTCTCTAACAAACTTAATCAATAAGATATTCCTAAAATATAAATTAATTCCAATAGTATATCAAATGCTTGAACTTCCAAGCAAGCTTTAACCACACATATCGGTAAAAGTAGGTATGAGTGCAGGTCAATGTATCGAAATGCAGGAGGTGGATCCACATTTCAAAGATGGTGTGGCTGTCGACTCAAGATGCTGGAGAAGTGGCCACGGTCATAGAAGGTAAGGTTCATTGAAGTGTGGAAAGAGAAGACATACAAGGAGTAAATAAATTTTTAGACTAAAAATATAAGACATTGGCTTGATCAGATATTTACAAAGACAATGCTGTTCTGTTAAAACAAGTAAAATTTTATTTCAACTCAAGATAAACAAATTTCAAATGGGGATTAATACAACTCTTGCTTAATAATCGTGTATATAAACAAAAACTACAAGGAAATAAACCAATGGTATAATTATCTTCTTTACCTTTAACAACAGAAAACTACACTTTAAAGGAATCAAGCATGGTCTTCAGAATCTTCTCAGAAGTTTGCCACTGTTTGTCATTGGCACTAGCCACAAATAAAACAACAGTGTTTCCCTTAGCTGTTGCTTTTGCAAGATTGTGTGAACCAGTAAGAGCAAATGGAGTTTCAAGCACATACTTGTAGTACTGCAGACACAATTTTCAGCAATGTTAGTCACTAATAGTTGCCGTAATGTTTAGACAACATAGGCTATAGAAAGCAAACATACCGTCTGATCATCAACTTTTTCAACTGACATCTCGAGGAGTTCATCTGGATCAAAAGTGTTTCCGGTGACAAATGGGCCGAGAGAAGCGATCACCTTTTCTGGGCTACCGATGTCCTCAATTGTTGCATTTGGTTTGTTGGTTAGACGTATCAAAGGTGAAGCAACAACCTGAATTTTTCCTTGTTTTTCATCTTCAAATTTAACCTCCACCCATGGCTCTGCACATTTTGGTTGACAGTAATTTCCTGATAGTATGTTAGCTATACGAAGCTGTTTCCATGTCGGGGGAAGGATGAATTGGTATGGCTGTACATTACCTGCAAAGAACTAAATCTAAACTATCAATTGCAAAGAACAGTAGAAGACAACCAAACTTTGTTACCAAACATCTTGTGTTTCATTATTAGTGTTTTTTATGTCTATTCTAACACAATTCAAATGCAACCCAAATAAGACAGTTAGTGCTACAAAATCAAAACTTCCTAAAACCTAGTCATCAAATAATGAGCCAAATCATATATATTTAATTTTCAGCAAAACAAAAGTCTTGAACTGAAAGATGAATGTACCTGCTCGAAGGGCAGGAGTATCTTTAGAAGAAGCTTTAAAGAGAACAAAAGAAGGGTCTGATGATGAAGGAGGGAGGAAAGAGCCAACTGCAACATCTCTAGCTTGTGAGTGAGGTGGCTCAGCGAGAACAATAAGTGGGAGCGAAAGAGCAACACCCTTTAAGAAATCTCTTCGGGGTGTGTGTTGGAAGTGATTTTCAGGAACTGAGGGAGAGGCCGAGGCTCTGCATGCACGGAAAGGTGAGCGGTTTGAATGTGATGTAGTTGATGAAGTGAAGGGGAGAAGAGAGGTGAATAGAGATGTTGCCATTTTTTTCCTGATCAGTGGAATGTGTGAAGGAAGGAAGGGACAAGGTTTGAATATGTTGATTGAGTCACTGTGCAACTTATCCATTATGAAAATATGATGTGATATGTGGATCACAATATTGCTACACATCACATATACTAGGACTCCTTGGTAAGTGTTCTCTTTCAAATATTACCTTTAATAAATTTTTGTTACTTCAAATTCAAGCGTACTAAGAAAATACTTTTCCTTAACAACATTTTTCCGGTAAAAGATTTGTGGATAATTGTTCTAATACAAATGTTAATTTACAATTTGAAAATATTACCATCGAAGAAAATATCGAATCAAATTGAGGACTAAATTACTCTCTTTAAAATGTTTTATGACATTGTTTAAAATTATACAAAACAATCATTCAATCACGATGTCTCCAAGATAAAATACTCAAATTTTATATTATAGAATTACTACTTGCAAAGGAGATAATCGATCTAGAATTACACCCTCTAATGACACTATAACCAATAGAATATGATAGATACCACTCTTAGTATCTGATTATCATTTATATCATTCGTAGATGGCAGGATGAAGGCACTCGAAAATAAAAACAGAAAAGAAAATTATAAATGAAGTGGAGATGAGGGAGCAGAGAAAGATTTCCGAATGTGGAAATATGGAGTAAAGATAATGAAATGGGAATGCATCTATTTATAAGAAAAAAATTGACTTGAATGGGAGAAAACATTGAGAATAGATCAGATCCGACCAAAAACTAGTTGTCAGGGAACTTGGTCAGCAAGGAAATATGGAAAACAAGGGAAAACCGGTTAGCAATTAGGGTTAACGAGAAAGGCAAGGTAAATTCAGTCAATAATCAATATTAATTATCATTTTACACTTGCCA